GAGTCTCATGGTCTCTCCTGCCCGGGCTGGCTTTGAACCGCGATCCTCAGATCTCAGCCTCCTGAGTAGCTAGGATTATAGGCATGAGCCACCAGCGCCCGGCTTCTAGTGATTTATTTGAGATAAGAGTCTCATGGACTTTTCTGCCCGGGCTGACTTTGAACCGTGAGCCTCAGATCTCAGTCTCCTCAGTAGCTAGGGTGACAGGTGTGGGCCACAGGCACCTGGCTTAGCCTGAGAATCTTTACCTTCTCAGAGATTTGATGCACTTAAGCACTCCGTGTTTTATCTAGCAATAATGGTGAGTACAGTATTGTGGAAAAGACTGGTAGTAGATATTTTAGGCTTTGTGGACCTGTCTCCACCGTAAGTACATGGGATGGTGCAAAAGCAACAGTGAACAAAACCTGAGTCTGCTCCCTGCTTATGCGCTAAGGACGTGGATCCTGCTTCCCGTCCCTGCTCAGGTTTCCCTTGGTGTGCGTCACACAAGGTATTACGTGTAATGTGTCCCCCTCTTGTCTCGTTTTGTCAGGTTAGTTTTAGTGGTAGAGCCCTTGCCTTGTGCTTGCCTAACACGTGCAAGCCCACAGGTCACACCGCAGATTGTTTGGGGAAATATTCCTCAATTTATTATTGAAAAGCTGTTGTCTTTATGATGTCAGACCTTTCCTTAGAGAACACGAAATGGTTCGCTTTCCAAGTCTTTATTTCTCCCAGTCATAGTTAGTTTCTTTCTTCCGGTCAGTTACATCTGTCCTTCTGTAGGTTCTATTGCAGTAGCTAACTGCATGCGTGCCCTATATAACTGTATTTCTGCTGGGTACCTATGGCTCATGCTATAGTCCAAGCTCCTCAGGAGGCTGAGCTCTGAGGATGGCGTTTTAAACCCAACCTAGACAGTAAAGTCCATGAGAGTATTATCTCCTGTTAACTAGCAAAAATCCAGAAGTGGAGATGTGGCTCAAGTAGTAAAGCACTAGTCTTGAGTGAAAAAGCTCAGCGCTAGCACTCCAGACCCTGAGTTCAAGCCCCAGGACTGGCATACACATACACACAAATTATATTTCCCAGTTGGCTATTGCTACTACAGGAGAATATGTTTTGTTTTTGAGAATCTGTGTTTATCTTTTATTTCACTTTCCTGAAGTGTTAATTCCCTATTGTTATGACTAATTTTCTTTGGATTGTGTTGCTGTGTAATCAAGTTGTCTGTGTGTAATGATAATCTCGTCTCTTCTAGTATTTTTTCTTCGGTCAGAATTGTCAAGATCAGAGTAAAACCAAGAAAGCAGCTGGGAGCTGGTGGCTCGTGCCTATAGTTCTGGCTACTCAGGAGGCTGCAATCCAGTGTTCGCAGTTCAAAGCCAGCCTGGGCAGAAAAGTCCTTGAGACTCTTCATCTCCAATGAACCACCACAAAACCAGAAATGGTGCTATGGTTCAAAGTGATAGAGCAAAAGAGCTCAGGGACAGCGGCCAGGCCTTGAGTTCAGTTCTGTGACTGACAAAAACAAGAAAACAGTCTCACTTTCCCCACACCTTGGTGTTTTCCTCTTTTTTTCCAGTACCAGGTTGTAGTAGGCAGGTTATCGGCAGTCGAGCACCTTCAGCACCTTCAACCCCTTCCTGCTTTATTTGCCAATTAGGGTCTTGTACTTTGCCCAGGCTGACCTCCCACCTTGGTCATCCTACCTTTGATTTCCAGGTAGCCAGAACTGCAGGAGCATTCTCCTAACTCTTTTTGTTGTTGAGATGGGCTCTTGCCAGTTTTTGGCCTCTATTTTGTTGTTGTTGTTGGTTGTGGGCCTTGAACTCTGGGCTTGGGTGCTGTCCATGCGCTCTTCAGCTCAAGGTGAGTGCTCTACCACTTGAGCCATAGCACCACTTCTGGTTTTCTAGTGGTTTATTGGAGATAAGAGTCTCATGGAGTTTCCTGCTCGGGTTGACTTTGACCCAATTCTCAGATCTCAGCCTCCTGAGTAGCTAGGATTACAGGCGTGAGCAACCAGCACCCGGCTGGCCTCTATTTTTAATACATTTACCCCTAGTGAAAAAGATATTTCTTCTTTTTCTGTTGGGTCCAGTCGTGGGGCCTGAACTCGGCCTGGGCACTGTCCCTCAGCTCTTCAGCTCAAGGCTAGCGCTCTACCACTTGAGCCACAGCGCCACTTCCGGCTTTTTTCTTTTTGCTTATGTGGTGCTGAGGAATCAAACCCAGGGCCTCAGGCACGCAAGGCAAGCACTCTACCACTGAGCCACCTTCCCAGCCCCTCTTCTTTATTTCTAAATGCTGGGGCAGGGGATGCACAATGAGGGATTGGGGGAAGCAGGAGAAATACTGAAGAAGGAAGCCGTGTGTGTTACTGTGTTATTCATGTGAGCTTTCAGTTAAAGATTACATGTTTCAAGCGGCACCACATATGAATGTCAAAAACAATCTGTTGGTAGAAAAGAGAGAGAAAAAATATCTGACTTGGGGCACAGCTGGGACAATGTGTTTTAGTCAGGGCTGCTGACGCGCCGGTCGGCTCTGGGACGCGGAGGGCTCACGCAGCTCTCCCCCTTGTGTTTCAGGGTCATGGCTGCACTGCCTCTCAACAATCTACAGGAGCAGCTAGAGCGCCACTCAGCCAAAAAACTGACCAATCAATCCAGTCTTTCCAAGCCCAAACCCATGTGAGTATATTGATTGCATCACCATTTCATAGCATAAATAAGGAGCTTGCTGTGTAGCTCAGGATGGCCTTGAACTTGCCAGGTAGCCTAGGCTGGCCCGGAACTCAGAATTCTCCTGCCTTAGCAATGCTTTGTTGCACAGATGAGAAAGCAGCTGAGAGGTTCAGTGATTTTTTTTTTTTTCTCCACTTTGCAGATTCATGACAGAGCACATTTTGGTGGCATCAGATAACAATTGTTTAGAACTTTTGCATAATTTCTGCCACATAGTACTTTTTTTGAGTAGTAAACTTTGTGTGTTTGTGTGCTGCTCCTGGGGCTTGAACCCCAGGGTCTGGGCAGTGTCCCTGAGCTTTTTTTGCTGAAGGCTAGTGATCTACCATTTGAGCCATAGCTCCATTTCCAGCTTTTTAGTAGTTAGTTGGAGATAAGAATCTCATAGAGCCAGGCTTTTCTCTCCAATTAATCCCCAAAAGCTAGAAATGGAGCTAAAAAAAGGAGGGCTGGTGATATGGCCCAAGTCATTGAGTTGAAATCCCAGTACTACCAAAAATAAAAAAACCAAGCTGGGTGCCAGTGGCTCACGCCTATAATCCTAACTACTTAGGAAGCTGAGATCTGAGGATCACGGATCAAAGCCAGCCTGGACAGGAAAGTCTGTGAGACTCTTATCTCCAATTAACCACCAGAAAACTGGAAGTGGCAGTATGGCTTAAGTGGTAGAGCGCTCAAGCCCAGATTACAAGCCCCACAACTGATCCCCCCCCCCAAAAAAAATCTCAAGACTTTCCTGCCCAAGCTGGCTTTGAACCCTGATCCTCAGATTTCAGCCTCCTGAGTACCTAGGACTACTGGCAAGCTGCCATTAACACCTAGCGCTCATGGCTCTTTGATAGTTGGAGATAGGAGTGTCATGGACTTGCCTGCCTAGGTTGGCTTTGAACTGTTATCCTCAGATCTCAGCCTCCTTGTAAACAGGGTTACTGATGTGTGCCACCTACACCTGGCCTCAGGAATCATTTATTTAGTAGTTCAAACTACTTGGGAGTGGGGCATGGGGGATTGCAATTTGAGGTCAGCTTGGGTAACAAAGAAATTAGAGCGACTCCCTCCCCAGATGGTGAGGACCAGTGGCTGTCCGTTACCAGCTGTGGAGGAAGCCCAGCGCTGCACTCAGCAATGAGCACCTGTCACCTCAGAGATGGGGAAGCACAGTAGGAGGATCGCATCCTGGGCATGGAACAAAACCCTACCTTAAAACTAACCTGTGCAGGGGCTGGGAAGGTGGCTCAGTGGTAGAGCGCTTGCCTTGCATGCATGAGGCCCTGGGTTCCATTCCTCAGCTCCACATAAGCAGGAAAAAAAAGCCGGAAGTGGTGTTATGGCTCAAGTGGTAGAGCGCTAGCCTTGAGCTGAAGAGCTGAGGGACAGCGCCCAGGCCCTGAGTTCAGGCCCCACAACTGGACCCCCCCCCCCAAAAAAAAAAACAAAAACCTGTGCATAAAGGTATGTGGACCAAGTGGTAGAGTACCTGTTTATCAAGTGCAAGGCCCTCACTTCAATACCTAGCACAAGAAAAAGGAAGGAAGGAAAGGAAAAGAAAAGATAAAGGGGTACTGATGGCTCACGAAAGGAAGGAAGGAAGAAGTGAAGGAAGGAAAAGAAAAGCCGGGCGCTGGTGGCTCACGCCTGTAATCTTAGCTACTCAGGAGGCTGAGATCTGAGGATCGTGGTTCCAAGCCAGCCCAGGCAGGAAAGGCCATGAGACTCTTATCTATCTCCAATTAACCACCAGAAAACCGGAACTGGTGCTGCAGTTCAAGTGGTAGAGTGCTCCCTTTGAGCTGAAGAGCTGAGGGACAGCGCCCAGGCTCAAGAGTTCAAGCCCCACAGCTGACCAAAAAAAAGAAAAAAGTTGAATTAGCTAAGTATGGTGGTACAGACTTATAATTTCAGCTACTGGGGAGTCATCTCAGAAGGATCAGGGTTCAAGACCACCTGACATGGTATGGTGACACAGGCGTGGGGGGCAAAGGTTGTGGTTTGAGGCTGGTCCTAGGGCTGTGCTCTACACAAGGCACAGATTCTGCTAAGAGGATTGGAGCATAGGCCAAGAGGTAGAGCTCCTGAGTTCAAACATCAGTACTACAGTTTAAAAAAGAAGGGATTTGTTGAATAAATGAGTAATCAATTTTCTTATGAGTTCAGGCAAACTATATTAGGTAGGTATACATTCCATTTTAATTTTGTGTCCTTGGTGAAACGGTACAGAAGGGAACGATCAGTTCCTAATGCTGATTTGCATTACAGCTGTGTCTGTAGTGGCTGCAGACAGCTTAGGCTTGTGAAGCTTCAACGTTTTGCTGACCTCCCTGCCATTAACCCAGCAGCCAGCCAGGACTCTGCCCTGCAGGGCTCAGTGCTGCTAACGGTTTTTTAACTCTTTTTCCCTTAAAATTTTTTTTTTATCAGAGTAACAAGAAATAGCCACTGTTGAGGTATGCAAACCCCATGTTCTAGAGATGCTGTTAATCAATACCACCGGCCTGAGATCAAGCAGGAACTCTCCAAATGGAATAATTTAGCCTCTAAGCAGGAAGAATCAGAGCGCACCACATAACCTTAGTTTAAGTTTAAGTTAGGTGAAAAATCTTAAATCACAGAGGGAGATAGATCCTTAGTCCTTTTGTGGTACAATGAAAGTAACTTGTCATGGAAGTAGAAAAAATCAAACCACAAAAAACGAATAGTTTTGTGGAGTGGGTGGGTTTGTTAATGAGCGCGGCTAAGGGCTGGGGGGGGGGCGGGGCTCAGAGGTAGAATGGTTTAGTGTGCCCTGGGCTCAGTTCAGTCCCCAGTCACAAAAAGAAATGAATTCATCTAATTCAGTCTCCCCATTCTTCAGAGGTTTTACTTTTAAAAAGAAAACATCCTCCGACAGCGACGCATCTGTGGCAAGTGTGTCAGTAGCAAGAACGCCGGTGTTGAGTGACAAAGATGTGAACGTGTCCAAGGCCTTCTCCTTCAGCCAGCCTCTGCCCTGCGCCCCCAGGCAGCAGGCAGGGGTCGGCAGCTGCTTTAAAAGCACTCCAGCGGGACAGGGAACTGGCGTAAAACCACTGTCACCAGGTCTGTTGCGGTCACCACCTGCTGTTCCATCAGGACAAAACACGCCTGCTGCGAGGATCCCCCAGGATGCTGCTTTCAAGAAGTTAGAGTTTAGTTCCTCCCCGGATTCTTCGAGCTCTCCCAGCCACTGGGATGATCGAGATGACTTCGACACTTCCTCTGCTTCCAAAGCCTTTGCCACCCCAGCCCAAGGCCGCTTCGTCAGAGTGAGCACGGCCCAGAAATCAAGACAAGGCAAGAGAAACTTTGTGAAGGCATCACCTCATAAAGCACTCGCAGTACAGGTGGATTTGACTTCTTCCTCTGAAAGCCAGCAAATTGACTTAACCGAAGAACAGAAGGATGAGACGGAATCCTTCCGTAGTGCTGTGATTTGCATCGATGAAGACTCCACTTCCGACGTGCTTTTAAATAAAGACTCTCAGGAAAGTCACACTTCAGAAACTCATTTGGAGGATGAAAGAGGTAAAAATCACTCTTTTATTTTTTTCATCTTTTCTTTTTTGGTACTGGGGATTGAACCCAGGACGTTGCACTTGATAGGTAAGCGCTTTGCCACTGAGCTACATCCCAGCCCAAATCACTCTTTTAGTTTTACTATATGGAAATTATTTTCTTTTTCTGGTACCAGGTTTGGAATTCAGGGCCTTGTGTTTGCTAAACTTGCTTGGCTGGCCCTCTAGCATTTGAGCCATTGCTCCAGCCCTGCTTTTTGTTGGCTAATTGGAGACAGAGTCTGGTGTGGACTTTTCTGCCTGAGATGACCACAGCCTTTGGCTTAGGCCCACCACCTACACCGGCCACACAGAACCACCCTCACTGGCTTCCACCAGCCTTCTCACGGGGCTCCCAGGGCTGCTGCTCCCCATGCATCCTTCCTAGGCACCCACGGTGCTCCGGGAAGCTGTGACTTACCCAGGGCTTTCTCTTGCACGTGCGCACCTCTTCTGTGTGATCAATTACTGCAGTGACTTAAGCTATCCACTGTTTGCCTGTAGGTAGCAGGGACAGGAAGCAGCTTGTGGAGGGGGCTGAACCGCCTTCCGCCCAGCAGGGCCCGTGTATTGAGCTAGATGATGACTACGATGTCGATTTCGTTCCACCATCGCCAGAGGAAGAGAGCATTTCTTCTGCTACTTCTTCTAAATGCCTTAGGTAAAATAATAGCTCATAAACCCTCTTGTTTGTTTCTAGTTTACCTTAAGTAATACACCTTACCTTTGTAATATCATTTCTCTGTAAGGGTATTTTGTGTGTGTTTTCTGGTCCTGGAGCTTGGACTTAGGGCTTTGGCACTCTCCCTGAGCTTTTTTGCTCAAGGATAGTGCTCTATCACCTGAGCTATAGCTCCATTTATGGCTATTTTGGTGGTTAATTGGAGAGAAGAGTTTTATAGACTTTCCTGCCCAGGCCGGCTTCAAACCATGATTCTCGGGTCTCAGCCTTCTGAGTAGGTAGGATTATAGACGTGAGCTACAGGTGCCCCACTCCATTTACTTTTTTTTTTTTTTTTTTGCCAGTCTGGGGCTTCAACTCAGGGCCTGGGCATTGTCCCTGAACCTCCTTTGCTCAAGGCTAGCACTCTACCACTTGTGCCACAGTGCCCCTTCCAGCTTTTTTGGCTGCTTATGTGGTATTGAGGAATTGAACCCAGGGCTTCATGCATGTTAGGCAAGATCTCTACCACTAAGCCACATTTCCAGCCCCCACTTGTTACTTTTTTTTTTGGCAGTTGTGGGGCTTGAACTCTGGGCCTGGGCGCTGTCCCTCAGGTCTTCAGCTCAAGGGAGTGCTCTACCACTTGAGCCACGGCGCCACTTCAGTTTTCTGGTAGTTAATTGGAGATAAGAGTCTCACAGACTTTCTTGCCTAGGCTGGCTTTGACCCACGATCCTCAGATCTCAGCCTCCTGAGTAGCTAAGATGATAGGCGTGAGCCACTGGCGCATGAGCCACTGGCGCCTGGCCCATGGGTTGGTATTTATTTGCCTGTCTGTTTGGCGTTATTTTATATCAGGGCCTCACCCTTGCTACGTAGGCAGCCTACCATTTGAGCTAACAACAGCAATCCCAGACTGACCGTATAGTCTGTTATGAGTCAGTTGTGCACACACAATATTTATTGACAGGTTGTGGGCTGAGGAATGGAAAGGGGAATGGGATCCAGTCAGCACACTTGGTGTACACGTGTGATGAGGGAGGCGGTCAGCACGCTGGTGTGCACGTGTGATGGGGAGCGGTCAGCACGCTGGTGTGCACGTGTGATGGGGAGCGGTCAGCACGCTGGTGTGCACATGTGATGAGGGAAGCGGTCAGCACGCTGGTGTGCACGTGTGATGAGGGAAGCGGTCAGCACACTGGTGTGCACGTGTGATGAGGGAGGCGGTCAGCACGCTGGCGTGCACGTGTGATGGGAAGCGGGAGCTCTGAGGTGGGGAGCGTGACTGGCTCAAAATGCCGCACACTTAGACAAACAACTTACATTTAAGCCTCTTGCACAACCTTTTGAGGTTCAGAAAAAATAAAATACATGCTGACATAATACAGGAAGTGCAGATAAAATGCTTTGGAATCTCAGAGGGAGCTCTTAGTAACCACTTTCTAGAGAATTTGGGTTGGCCCTGTAAGAGCAGGTGTTGTCTGTGTGCAAAGAGTCTGGGTGGCAGGTTTTCCAAATCAAGGGGAAGCAGCGGCACCCTCCTAAGCTAGCTGGTGCAGGCCTGTGAGGAGCGGAAGCACGCTGCACGACAGGAGCCTGTGCTTGTAAAACGTGCGCTGTCTCTTGGGACCTGAAGATGGGACACCTGCAGACGAATAGGAGATAAGACATGCGTCCGTTACACAGCATCTCACCAGCCGCAGGATAGTGTTAGGGGAAGGTATGCATTTGTTTGATTCGTTTTAACTTCTTCCTTTTTTTTTTTTTTTTTTTTGGTAGTGTGTTAAAGGATTTTGATGCCTCTGACCAAGAAAAAGATCTCTTATCAAAACCAGCGAAAATTGCCGGGCAGGAGCCTGATCTGGAAACGAGTGTAGACTGTGATGGTACAGACATATGTGGTATATAATTATGGCATTAGCCACGTTGTTTCAGCTGCTTATTTCTAGCTTTTGTATTTTCATCCTATGGCTGTGAAGTGTAAAATGGTAAATGTACGGTGCCTCTCATTTTGATATAAACCATCGTGGTGCTGGGCAGCCAGCATGTGCTCGGACAGCTCAGAAATTTAGGACCCCAACCAGGCTCATTCTGCCTTGAAACTGCAGCTTGTTGAAAAATCACCTCACATGACAAGCCAGAATTGGCCTTCCTGTAGGTTCAGTCCTTTGTAAATGTGAAGCTCTTAGTTTTCTCCCTAGTCCCAGGCCTTCCAACTAACTGTTCTTTTTTTTGGCCAGTCCTGGGGCTTGTGCTCAGGCCTGGGCACTGTCCTTGAGCTTCTTTTGCTCAAGGCTAGCACTCTACCACTTTAGCCACAGCACCACTTCTGGCTTTTTGTGTATGTGGTACTGAGGAATTGAATCAAACCCAGGGCTTCATGCATGCTAGGCAAACACTCGACCACTAAGCCACATTCCCAGCCCCACGATCTAGTAATTCTGTAAACCTCTGAAGAACAGCAGTCCCCTTTCCACCCCTGCTTCCTACTTTTCAGAGTACTTTCAGTCTAAAACTGGTTGTGCTTTTGTCTGAATTTTTTTCTGGGAATAGTTTTATTTCTTTTTTCCAGAATTTGTGTTGATGGGATGTTAGACCTCCATGAATCATCTATGCATCTTCTAACTTGCTTGCTTATTTATTTATTTATTTATTTATTGGGTCTGGTTGTGGGCCTGAACTCTGGGCCTAGACGCTGTCCCTCAGCTCTTCAGCTCAAGGCTAGCTCTCTACCACTTGGGCCACAGTGCCACTTCTGGCTTTCTATTTTTTCTGCTTATGTGGTGCTGAAGAATCGAACCCAGGGCCTCATGCATGCAAGGCAAGCACTCTGTCACTGAACCACCTTCCCAGCCCTTGGTTTTTTATTTTTATTTTTTATTTCTGAGTGTTATAACGGTGATGTACAGAGAGGTTACAATTTTGTAAGTCAGGTAATATGCACATTTCTTTTTTAGAAAAATTTTATGTTAGTAATGGGGGCTTGAACTCGGGGCCTGGGCACTATCCCTGAGTTCTTTTGTGCAAGGCTAGTGCTCTATGACTTTGAGCCATAGCACCACTTCTGGTTTTATGGTGGTTAATTAGAGATAAGAGTCTCATAGACTTTCTTGCCTGGCTGGCTTCCAGTCGTGATCCTCAGATCTCAGCCTCCTGAGTAGCTAGGAGGACAGGTGTGAGTGCCTTTCTTTTCGGGCAATGTCACCCCTCTTGCTCTCGCAGTTTTTCCCTCCCATCCCCATCCACAAATTGTATAATTCCTTTTTAACATGGTGTCTAGTGAGTGCCACTGCTGCATTCATTTGTTCACCCTTTGTCCCTCCATGTCTGTGCCCCTCACACTCCCGATAGCAGACCAACACTTGACTACTTCTTTTAGGGATTTTCTCAATTTTTATCTTTAACTTTTCTGTGGAATACATCATTTGTACCAAGTCAGTTTTCAAGAGCTCTTTTATGAGACTTCTGAGAGACCTGCCGTTCTGTTTGACATCTGCTGTATTTTTTTTTTAACTTACTTGATTACATTAGTTATACAGAACAGATACTGAACTTACAGCGCATGTGCTCATGTGCGCATGTGTAGTACTCTCTGTGTTCTTTCTGTCTCCTCAGAACTCTGTATTTTGGTCTCTGAATGTGTGGCTAGTGATGTTCCTGAAATATCTCACATCTAGCCACCACCACCACCACCCCTGAGGATCGAACCTCAGGCTTGCAAGGCAAGCGCTCTACCACTGAGCCACTTTCCCAGCCCCAGCAGCCCTCTTCTAAGTGCCCCATAGTAAAGTCACTGAGTCCATAATTATGCCAGCCCCTTAGGTGGTTTCTGTTCTCTATCTTACAAGCCGGGAAATGAAGGCATAGGAAAGTTAAATAACTTGGGCTGGGAAGGTGGCTCAGTGGTAGAGTGCTTGCCTTGCATGCCTGAGGCCCTGGGTTCGATTCCTCAGCACCACATAAGCAAAAAGAAAAAAGCCGGAAGTGGCGCTGTGGCTCAAGTGGTAGAGCACTAGCCTTGAGCTGAAGAGCTGAGGGACAGCGCCCAGGCCCAGAGTTCAGGCCCCACGACTGGACAAAAAAAAAGAAAGAAAGTTAAATAACTTCTGGCCGCAGGCAGAGATAACAGCAGAGTTGGGGCTCTGGGGCTTACCCTGGTTGCCCCACATTGCCTGCGCTGCATCATTCCGTGTGACTGAGAAGATGATCCTGGCCCAGGGTTCTGGCAGGGTCATTAGCGGCCTTCCTCTAGGCTCATAGCCTTCTTCATGACCACTTCTTCACCTACTTAGAGATCTGCCCCTGGGAAACCTCTCCAGAGAGGTCAAGGTCAGAGACAGCGAGAGGGAATGGGCGGGCCTGCTTTGGGGTGAAGCCCCCCCACGTGAAACTTTTGGAGCTTGAGTGCTGGGATCACAAGTGGATCGCCACGCCCAGCTCGCAGTCTTTTTTTTTTTTTGTCAGGCTTGAACTCTGGGCCTGGGCACTGTCCCTCAGCTCTTCAGCTCAAGGCTAGCGCTCTACCACTTGAGCCACAGAGCCACTTCCAGCTTTTTCTGCTTATGTGGTGCTGTGGAATTGAACCCAGGGCCTCATGCATGCAAGACAAGCGCTCTACCACTGAGCCACCTTCCCAGCCCCCAGCTCTTAGTCTTTTATGCAGACTCTCGTATCTTCCTTTCTGAGTAGCTCTTGTTATCTACAGGTCTACTATACTTTCCAAAAAGGAAAAACATTGACACAGGCTCTGTTTTGATGAACTCTTGCTAACTTTATAATCATTGTCTCTTTTTAGAGTTATGAAGCAGCCATTTGATAACATGTTCTAGAACTTTGCCTTGATTTGACATCAGATCACTTTGCTTGTAGCTTTTGGCAGTCACCTACCATGTTTGCTTTTTTCCTTTCCTTTTTTTTTTTTTTTTAATGAGAACAATGTTTTCCTTCACTTTCCTTGCACTCCCGTACTCGCACATGCCTCGTGTGTCATCCGCTGGGCTCAGATCTCCTTTGTCGTCTGAGACTGGCAGGGATACTGAGCTCTTCCTGCTGTCCAGCTCCTCCCGCCACTCCAGGCTGCTGCTGCTCCATGCTTTCCACTCTGACATTCGTTCTCCTTCACAAGACACAGAAGTGACAGGAGCCCAGTTCCCCTGTACCCGTCTCCTGTCCTGGCTGCCGGTGCTCTCTATGCAAGCTTGCCTGGGCATTCTGCCTGTGGTCTCGGGGTCGTGGTCCTGTCACAGTGCTCCTTCCTCTCTCCCACTCTCTTGCCCTTCAAGTCCCCGTCCCCCACCCCTACCCATGGTTCCTTCTTTCTTTGGATGTTTCCTTCCCTTTCTTTCTCTCCTCGTCCCCTGAGAACACTGGTCCCCCACAGCCCACCTGGAGCGGACTTCAGTGATGTCCCATTGCTGCCCTACAGCATTTGTCTTCTCCCTTCATCTAAAAAAATATCAGCTTTGAAATTCTGTTTCTTAGTTATGTGGCTTGATTTTTTTTTTTTTTTAAGGCAAGGAGGGCTTGGGGATATAACTCCGAGTCAGGTTGTCAGGTGTATGCTTTAAGCCCTGGGAGTTATCCTCTTGCTCTCTTGTTTACAATTGCTTTACAGCCAGACGGACCCGTCTCCAGGAGCAGCTTATTCAGGTGATGGAGCGCATCTGTAGGGTGGTCGACACCATCCGAGTAGATGAACTGACATCTTTGGACTGTGGGGACGAGCTGCTACAGTTGCGGGACCAGAGGTATCGTGACCCTTCCCTCCTGCCATAGGTCCGATTGCATCTCCACTGCTGAGTCCAGAAATGAAGAGGCAACCCGTCCAGGTTGTCTGAACCAGATATTGCATAAGGATAATTTCGTCAGATTTTACCTTTCAAACCATTCCTTTAGGTTTATATTCAGATGTTAAGAGACTGGGGAAATAGAATATAGATCACTACACTTTCCATTTGGTTTAAGATGTGAAGATCAACATTCATAGCAAACAACTTAAATTGTTTCTTTTCTGTCTTCAGAAGGAAACTCCTAGCCGAAGTGGATTTTACTAGGAAAGATGTGAGTCTTCTCAGTGGTGTGTGGAAACACAGGCGTGACTCACTTGGTATCTCTGTGGGGGGTGATTCCTGCCCTCTGGAGGGTTCTGTGGAGTTAAAGTTTCCATATCTTCCCTCAAATTCTCTCTCCATTGGGGAAAATGTACTGTCTACTGCCCCAGGAAAGACAGGACTGTCAGCCTCCACCAAGGAGCTGTTTGAAAGCCCATCATTCAGTTCCCCTTCACAGAAGGCCTTTGTGAGCAGCAAGTGGGCGGAAACGCCAAGTAGAGAGAGAAGAAATGAAAGCTCATACTTCCCGGGAAAGGCTCTCACAAGCACCACTGTGAAAGATCTGAGTAAGCACCCAGCTTCAGGAGATAACTTAGCAAGAGAAGCCCCGACTTCCTGTGATGTGGATGACTTTGACATAGATGACTTTGATGATGATGATGACTGGGAGAACATCATGCAGAATTTGCCAGCCAGCAAGCCTTCCACAGCCGTCTACCCTCCTGTCAGGGAAGGTGGGCCAGTGAAATCCCTATCAGCCAAAACACACTGCCTTCCAGCGGCCTCTGCGGCTCAAAGGAAAAGCTCGGAGGCAGTCCAGAATTATGCCGGTAATTTTAAGATAAATTGAATACTTAAATATTATAGGAAAACAAAACTATCCAAAATAGAAATTGTATAAGAAAAAGCACAGCAAGCCATCATTCCCTGAAAGCCACATTGTTTTATGCAAATGTGTACAGATAATATGAATTACAAATCACAATTTCAAAAGCAAGTTGCTCTTTGTGTCTGCAGCAGCTGTAGTTTTATAAAATGTGTAATTATAACCTATTGTAGTAAAGCTCCAAAGTCATTACAAGTGTGCTTTGCCTTTAGATGAACATTTTTAGTCCCTAAAACAACGAAGCTCATGAAGACAAGTTTTTAATGGCTTGGAGATGAACAAGAAAGAAAAGATGAATGTTTAAGCTGAAACTGTATCTAGTGTAGTCTGAGGTTGTGAAGTCAAGTTTCTTTTTTCTTTTTTTTTTGTCGGTTGTGGGGCTTGAACTCTGGGCCTGGGTGCTGTCCCTCAGCTCTTCAGCTCAAGGCGAGCACTCTACCACTTGAGCTACAGTGCCACTTCCGGTTTTCTGGTGGTTTATTGGAGATAGGAGTCTCACGGTCTCTCCTGCCCGGGCTGGCTTTGAACCGTGATCCTCAGATCTCAGCCTCCTGAGTAGCTAGGATTACAGGCGTGAGCCACCAGCACCCGGCTGAAGTCAAGTTTTTTTTTTTTTTTTGGGTCCGGTTGTGGGTCCTGAACTCTAGGCCTGGGCACTGTCCCTCAGCTCTTCAGCTCAAGGCTAGCGCTCTACCACTTGAGCCACAGCGCCACTTCCGGCTTTTTTCTTTTTGCTTATGTGGTGCTGAGGAATCGAACCCAGGGCCTCATGCTTGCAAGGCAAGCGCTCTACCACTGAGCCACCTTCCCAGCCCATGAAGTCAAGTTTCTTAAAGCAATCAAATTATTCCCTTGGGCCTAGACCCTCTTCCCTTCAGTAACACTGGCTGGGTGCTGGTCGTGGACTGTGTCCTGCGTGGTTTCTGGGAGGGCTATGGACGCCCTGCGGGAGCCCCCAGCGGAATGAGGAGTTCTGAGAGGCGTGGACTTAGCTACTGAAGAAGGCCCCAGTGCAGCCAAAACTAATTTTAAAACCTTACCTCAGCCCCATAAAGTTCACACTAGGTAGTTTTTACTGAAGCAGAGTACCGTGCAAACTTTCACGAAGTGTAGTGTTCCTATTTCCATCGTTGATGATGTCATACCTTGAGATGGTTCTTACAGTTAGGCTGTTGACCTTTAAACTAACCGTTAATGGATTTATTTTGGTGTCATGCTAGTGTATGTCGTACTTGATGTCTGTAATTATCCTTGAGACACTTGAGTGTTGGGAGTGAGAGTAGCTACCGGAATGGGTGTGAGTACCTCGTGTTCCCCAGGGAGCCAGCCTTAAGTACACTGAGGACTGAGGTTGCACAGCCTCCCCCCTGCCAGCGGAGGTGTCGGGGTGGGAAGAGGTAAAGTGCAGGAGGCCGAGGTCTCAGCTACGCAGAAAAACCTGTGACACCATTCACAGAAATAGTCAGGAGGCAGAGTCAGATTTAGAGAAAAGCTGAGGAGGCTATTTTAAAACTTGGGCTGACGGCTGGTTGTTAAAGCACTGGGATAGGAATGCTCAGAGACCAGGGGAGCTACGTGGGATGGAGCTGAGGGCACAGCAGGAGAGAGCTAGGCCTGCTCACACACAGGGTGTGTTTGAGATCGCAGGACCGGAATTATTCCAAAGAACATTGTGAAGAGCGCAGTCCCAAGAGTCTGAAGAGCTTCAAACTTAAGGGACAGTGGAAGTGGGACCAACAAAGGGAATTTAAAGCCAGCAGGGGAGCTGGAGGTAGAGCTCCGCTCCGTGGCATAGTATTTGCCTAGCATGCGCAAGGCCGTGGATTTGATCCCAGCACTGCAAAATAAACAAGTATGTAGACCAGTAAATAAGGCAAGTAGAAAAACCATGGTTATCAAGAAGAAGAGGAGGAGGAGGAGGAGGACAACAGTATTGATGACAGGACTGTAATAAAAGACTGGATTTCAGTCCTTACAATCTCTGGTGGCCTTGGGGCCAGTTGGCGGGGAAGCCTCAGGAGCAGGGAGAGTGCTGTGGGGAGCTGACCCTCCGTTGTGCAGGGATAGGCCTCAGCATAACACAGGCTAACCTGTGTTGGATTCACACACTGATTCTTCTTAATGTTGATTGTTTTCATAGACAAGTTGGCGCAAAATTTCACCTCCAGAAATGTGAAACATGAACGCTTCCAAAGCCTCGATTTTCCTCATACAAAAGAAATGATGACAATTTTTCATAAAAAGTTTGGCCTACATAATTTTAGAACTAATCAGCTAGAGGCAATCAATGCTGCACTGCTCGGTGAAGACTGCTTTATCCTAATGCCCACTGGTATGTATTTTTAGATATGAATTGGCAGGAATCCATTGGCAGATGTTAACACCTACACCAGATTCTTATCTTTTAGGGATCCCCTGAACCTTTCATGCATAGGAAGTTTATTACCTCATGTCTTCTGCTTTCTGGTTGGTGACATGATAAGGTTTTTACCTCTTACACGATTTCCAGCTCAGGGCTGGGAATATGGCTCAGTGGTAGAGTGCTTGCCTAGCATGCATGAAGCCCTGGGTTCAATTTGTCATACACACACACAAAAGCCAAACAAAAAGATGGAATCTAATGGATTTTTTCATCCTTTTTCTTTCAGGAGGTGGTAAAAGCTTGTGTTACCAGCTGCCTGCCTGTGTTTCGCCTGGAGTCACTATTGTCATTTCTCCCTTGAGATCATTAATAGTAGATCAAGTTCAAAAGCTGACTTCATTGGATGTAAGTTAAAACATAAAAGCACCATAAAAGTGCTACAGAAACAGCTTCATTACTGTAGATACTTTTATTAAGTTGTTCGTGAATTGGCAGAATCATTTATAAATTATTTGGAGCTGTAGTTCAGTGGTAGTGCACTAGCGTAGCATGTACAGGAGAGTAGCTGCTCCGAGGAAGCTTGAGAACAAAAGTCTGTGAGACTCCATCTCCAAAAAATGACCATGAAGCCAGGCGCCAGTGGTTCATGCTTGTAATTGTAATCCTAGCTACTCAGGAGGCAATCTAAGGATCCTGCTTCAACGTCAGCACAGGCAGGAAAGTTAATGAGACTCTTCAATAAACGACCAGAAGACCAGAATTGGCACTGTGGTTCAAGTGGTAGAGCATTAGCCTTGAGCTGAAGAGCTCAGTGTCCAGGCCGAGTTCAAGCCCCACAACCGACAAAAAATAAAAATGTGGGGCTCAAGGGGTAGAGTGCGAATCATGAAAGCCAAGTAAGAGCATGAGGTAAAGGACTAGTTCAAGCCCCAGACTAACACCCAAAAAGAAGACAACATGAATGTATTAAGAACTTTTAGTGGGCAAGTTGGCTCACGCCTGTAATCCTAGCTACTCAGGAGGCAGAGATCTGAGATCATAGTTCAGAGCCATTGGGCAGGAAAGTCTGTGAGACTCTTAATCTCCAGTAAACTACTCAGAAAAATGGATGGCGCAGTGGCTCAAGTGGTAGAGCACTAGCCTTCAGCTGAAGAGATGAGGGACAGCGCCCAGGCCCAGAGTTCAAGCCCCATGACCGACAAAAGAGAAAAAAAAAACAATAGAATTGGGTTTTACTACTGCCAGATCAACATGATTTTCTTCCCCTTGTGCATGCCCACACATGTTGTCTTCCTCCTAGCCTAGCTGAGGGAAGTATCATGCCTACATTCTACTAAATCCTTCATACTGCCATTAGCAGAACTGGTGCAGGGCTATGAGTCACCACGCCTCATTGAGACAACCGGCTTGGTGTTCTTCCCAGGACGGTGGTGCAGGGGCCGTCGCCATGTCTCCCGCGCCGTTCTGTGTGGTCCTTCTGTTGTCACTGTACTAAAATTTCAAAGTTGCATTTACCTAAACAAATAGCTATGTGTTAGGACTGGAATCTCTTGGATGCTAACCTCATGGTTGCCTTTGCAGTTACAAAGAGTAAAGGAAAAACCCTGCTTTCAGCTGGTTAATTTTGTTGTTGTTGTTGTTATTGTTTTATCTGTCCTGGGTCTTGAACTCTGGGCCTGAGCGCTGTCCCTCAGCTCTTCAGCTCAAGGCTAGCACTCTACCACTTGAGCTACAGCACCACTTCTGGCTTTTTTCTTTTTGCTTATGTGGTGCTGAGGAATCGAAACCAGGGCCTCATGCATGCAAGGCAAGTGCTCTACCACTGAGCCACCTTCCCAGCCCTGCTCTACCACTTTGAGCCACAGCGCCACTTCTGGTTTTCTAGTGGTTAATTGGAGATAAGAGTCTCACGGACTTTCCTGCCCAGACTGGCTTTGAACTGTGATCCTCAGAGCTCAGCCTCCTGAATAGCTAGGATTACAGGCGTGAGCCACCGGTGCCCTGGCTAGTTAATTTTTTTTTTTTTTTGGTCCGGTCGTGGGGTCTGAACTCTGGGCCTGGGCACTGTCCCTCAACTCTTCAGCTCAAGGCTAGCGCTCTACCACTTGAGCCACAGCGCCACTTCCAGCTTTTTTCTTTTTGCTTATGTGATGCTGAGGAATCAAACCCAGGGCCTCATACATGCAAGGCAAGCCTTTTTTTTTTTTTGAGATAGTCTTGGCAGACTTTTTTGCTTGGGCTTGCTTCAAACAGCAGTTCTCCAGAACTCCTGAGTAATGCAGGAGCTTTTTTGTATGTGTATAAGGTTTTGGTATATCTCAGACTGACTTCTAACTCTTCATTCTCCTGCCTCGACCTCCTGTGTACTGGGGTTATAGGCATGCATTACCATGCCTGGCTGAGGAGGATGTTTTGAGTTACGCTTAATAAACACACACACACACACACACATATGTATAGATAAATTGTGATCTATGACCTTTAGAATTTTTAAAATTAAAGTTGTCTGTTGCCTTTACACTTAGATTCCAGCTACATATCTAACCGGTGATAAGACTGATGGAGAAGCTGCAAGCATTTACCTCCAGTTATCAAAGAAGGACCCAATTATTAAACTTCTCTATGTCACCCCAGAGAAGGTTTGTGTTATATCATTATTTTAAGATGTAACATTGGGCCTGGGAAGGTGGCTCAGTGTTAGAGTGCTTGCCTAGCATGCATGAAGCCCTCGTTTGATTTTCAGAACCACATAAACAGAAAAAGCCAAAAGTGGCAATGTGTTTCAAGTGGTAGAGTGCTAGCCTTGAGCAAAAGGTCAGAGGCAGTGCCCAGGCCCTGAGTTTAAGCATCATAACTGCCCCCCCCCCCGAAAAAAAAAGAAAAAGTAATATTACAGGCCACTAGAATACATATGCTTTTAAAACTATGGCATCATCTTTTTTTTTTGTTAGTCGTGGGGTTTAAACTCCAGTCCTGGACACTGTCCCTGAGCTCTTCAGATCAAGGCTAAGTGCTCTACCACTTGAGCCACAGTGCCACTTCCTGTTTACTGGTGGTTAGTTGGAGATGAGTCTCACAGATAGCCGGGTACCAGTGGCTCATGCTCGTAATCCTAGCTACTCAATAGGCTGAGATCTGAGGATCCTGGTTCAAAGCAACCTGGGCATGAGACTCTCTATCTCCAATTAACCACCAGAAAACCGGAAGTGGTGCTATGGCTCAAGGGTAGAGTACTTGCGTTGAGCTGAAGAGCTCAGGGACAGCACCCAGGCCCAGAATTCAAGACCCACAACCAAGGGGGGGAAAAAAAGAGTCTCACAGACTTCCCTGCCCAGTCTGGCTTTGAACCGAGATCCTCAGATCTCAGCCTCCTGAGTAGCTAGGATTACAGTTGTGAGCTACTGGTGCCCCGAGTATAATTCTTAATGTACGGTATGATAAAAAGAATTTCTATATAATTTTGACTTAAAAAAACTAGTGACATTTCACTATAATTGCTTTATTATGTATTCTTTTCTCTAGTTCCTGAAACATTTGATTGCTGATGTAGTAGTCTTTTAATCCTAAACACTTCAGTATGCATTTCTCAAAAACAAGCACTTCTCACCTATGGCCATACTATAATGATCAAATTCAGGGGATGTATACTGACGCAGAGCTATTTCTTAATTCTGTCTTCTAATTGCAGTGACTGCCCCTGTGGCAGAAGAAACTCCCACTTTAGTCCCTTTTCTCTCAGGGATTTTGAAGCATGCAGTCCATTTGTTTTGATCTTCTGTTCCCCTATTTCGTCCATGTCGTTCACTTTGGCAGGAACACCCCAGATGTGATAAGTCTCGTGTGCCCTAGCAAGAGGCATTTGGTGTTGACTCATCTGTTGCTGATGATGTCAACAGCTGACCGCTGGGTTAGGGCAGTTCCTGCCAGAGCTCCCGCTGCCACCAGCTCTGGTTTCCTCCTTGGTAGTTAGTTGTTGTCCTACTGTAGGTTAATGTGAGAGTGCGGATGTCCTGTTGGACACCACGCTTAACCACAGTTTGACCTTCCACTCACGGTTATTTTACTGTGATATACGCCAAGTTTTGGATTAGCTGATTTAGTTGATATTTAACCATAAGGAAAAAAGCTTTTCCTTCTATCCCACCTATTTATGTGATAGAGCTCAAGGATTCGTAATTTATTTGTTGGGTTACCTTCAGGTCTTATTATGGATAGTGGCATTCTAGATGTGGCCAGCAGGCGCACCATCCCTGCTTTCTCGTCACTGTCAGGTGGGGTGCATGTGCGGCTACTGCTAGCTCTCAGTGCTTCCGGCTCTGTTGGGGTCAGTGCTACCAAGTGCATCATCACATATATCTGTATGTCCCCAAACCACATGCACACACATAGCACACCTCTAATCCTGGCACCAGTGTTGCTGAAGCCAAAGAACATTCTAGCACCACTGACCTAAGGAGTAAACTGGAATGAGGGCCAGCATTCTCACATGTCTCTCTTTGCCATTTCCTGTTACTTCTATTTTCTTCATAGATTGAAATAACGAGTTTTTATGGTAGTTTTAATACGGTTTTGAGTGTAATGGAAATTAAAGACAGCAGACACTGAGGCCATGTGTTTGAATATGTCTTGTTGCTGGTCTAGGTGTGTGCGAGTAACAGGCTGATCTCCACACTGGAGAATTTGTATGAGAGGAAGCTCTTGGCCCGTTTCGTTATTGATGAAGCACATTGTGTCAGTCAGGTAAGCCCGCTCCTGCCTCGGGGTGTCCGTTCATACTGGCACTCACGTCTGTATCTTCAGACCTGGGGCCAGACGCGCCCAGGGAGTGCCCGCTATGCTGGAGAGTAACGTGGTTCTTCACCGGGGGACGTGTTGGCTTGGACACAAGATACAAATCACTGAAAAGAATGTGTTTTTCTCCTACTAGTGGGGACATGATTTCCGTCAGGATTACAAACGAATGAACATGCTTCGCCAGAAGTTCCCTCTGGTCCCCGTGATGGCGCTCACGGCCACCGCGAACCCCAGGGTGCAAAAGGACATCCTCACCCAGCTGAAGATCCTCAGCCCGCAGGTGTAAGTTGTCCAGACGCAAGTATTTAAAGCCCTGTTCGTACCTAGCCTACCCAGTGTGCCAGGCGCTGCTCTGGGCACTTCATGTGGCTTTTTATATACGAAAACAAGTTTTAGGAAGTGTATGTCCTGTTTCTCTTTGACAGATAAAGAAAGGGAGGCAAGGTATTAACTTAGAGAAGTTCACGCAGTTAGCAAGTATTGCAGTAATGGCTTAAACCTCAAAACCCTTTAATTTCTATTCCAAAATGCATAAGCAGAAGTAGCGGATGGAGATGTAGGTGCGGGCTGCTGGAACTCGGAAGGCAATGTAATATTATATCCATTGAAAAGACCAGCAGCGAGGAGCCGTCAGACAGTTTTATAAAGAAAGCAGGTATTACAGGGTGGGTGGTTTTCTAAAAGGTTGAGACGGCTGTATTTAGACGCAGTAGAGTTCATCTATTTATGTAATTGAGGTGTTTGTGGTTTGTTCATAGCACTGTAGGACCATCACCACTGCTAACTCTGGGACATTTCTGCCTCCTTTGAAAGATTCCATACGTACTACCAGCCGCGCCTTCCCCCTCTGCCCTCAGCAGCCCTCGACTGCTTTCTGCCCCCAAATTTCTTTGCCTAGTCTGAACATTCCACATAGAGATTGAATAGAAGTGTTTGATTGGTTAATTGATTGGTTTTGCCAGCCCGCGGGCTTGAACTCAGGGTCTGGGCACTGTTCCTGAACTTTTTTGGGGGGGGGAGTCTGGTTGTGGGGCTGAACTCTTGGCTGGGCGCTGTCCTTCAGCTCTTCAGCTCAAGGCTATAGCGCTCTACCACTTGAGCCACAGCGCCACTTCCAGCCTTTTCTGTTTATGTGGTGCTGAGGAATTGAACTCAGGGCCTCATGCGTGCAAGGCAAGCACTCTACCACTGAGCCACCTTCTCAGCCCCAAGACAGTAATTTTATATACAGACTTTTTTGCCTATGTTATACTTCACTGTAGGAAAAGTATACATATAAATAAAATTGGTCTTTTAATCTGTATCAAAAGTTTCATCTGTATTGAATTATTAAAGTCATCGGTCACGTAGAAATGATTGGAACAATGTGTGTGTGTGCGCGTGTACATGTGTTTCTTTTACATACTCTTGCTGTTTCCCAGGCTACAACTGATCCTTCCACCTTTGTTTCTCAAATTTCTGAGACCACAGTTATGTACCACCATGCTCAGCTTGCATGTATTTTGACATTTTTTCCCATTTGCTAGAATTCAATTTGATAAATATTATTTTATATAATCAGAGGCTTAACGTAATTTTGGGGCTGGGAAGATGGCTCGGTGGTAGAGTGCTTACTTTGCATGCATGATGTACAAGGTTTGATTCCTCAGTACCACATAAGCAGAAAAAGCAGGAAGAAGAGCTGTGGCTCAAGTGGTAGAGTGCTAGACTTGAGCTGAAGAGCTGAAGGACAGTGTCCAGGCCCAGACTTAAAGCCCCATGACCACCACCAACAACAAAAAAACACATTTTGAGCACAAATTTTAGTATGTGTTTTAATGAAATAGGACTTTTGTTTTTCAATTAGTTCATATATCTACAGATGAGTTGAATCAGTACTTCTTTTATAAATGTCAACCCTGAGAAATGTTACTTACATAAACATGAATGAGAGTGAAAGGATTTTATTATAGCAGTAACACTCAATTATTTGAATTTCTCTGAAGTATATGCCAAAATTACATCATGATCTGTCATCAAAAATTATTTTTAATGATCTGTCAGCTGACATCTCAATTAAATCCTCCAAATTTTGTGGGAGGCAAAGACTATGAAACTATTTGACTGGCAAAATAAGCAATATCATTAGTTATTCACTTTTGTGGGAAATATATGCTTTTAAAACTTGACTGTAACTTCTTTAATGACTATGAAATGTTTTTACTATGTTTTTTGACAAGGACCTTGTATCCTATGGCTAGTGTATTTGGAAATCAAATCTTTTTTTGGGGGGGAGGGGGGAGTGGTTGTCACAGTTAGTTGTCGGGCTTGAACTCAGGGCCTGGGCCTTGTTCCTGAACTCTTTTTGCTCATGGCTAGTGCTCTACCACTTTGAGCCACAGCTCCAATTCTGATTTTTAGGTGGTTACTTAGATATAAGAATCTCATAGACTTTCCTTCCCTGACTAACTTTTTTTTTTTTTGTCTTTTTTTTTTGTCGGTCGTGGGTCTTGAACTCTGGGCTTGGGCGCTGTCCCTCAGCTCTTCAGCTCAAGGAGAGCTCTACCGCTTGAGCCACAGTGCCACTTCCGGTTTTCAAATGGTTTATTGGAGATAAGAGTCTCACGGACTTTCCTTGCCCAGGCTGGCTTTGAACCGTGATCCTCAGATCTCAGCCTCCTGAGTAGCTAGGATTACAGGCATAAGCCACCGGTGCCCGGCCCCTGACTGACTTGGAACCATCATACTCAGATTGCATCCTCCTTAGTAGCTAGGATTATAGACATGAGCCTATAGCACTTGGCTCCAATCATTGTTTTTGGGTTTGTTTTTTTTTTTTTACAAGATGTTTTTATTGTGTGATGTGTTATTAAATGTCATTTTGTCAAAACTTTGTGGTTGCATATTAGCCCATTGAAATACTGGAGAATGACTGGTGTGTAACTTCATTAGTGGAGCCAGTCTTTGTTGACAAATCGATCAGCCAAGTAGATCGATTTCCTCACATTGAAAGATTTTGATTTGTTTTCAGTTCACATGAACTATAGTAGTGGTCCTAGTTCCTAAAACAGAAGCAGAGTGCCGCTTGAATCCAGATCTCACAGAGCACTTTCCAGTGGCACAAGATGGACATGCTTGGCCTAGAAATGTTCCATTTTTTTTTTTTTGGTTGGTCGTGAATTCTGGGCTTGAACACTGTCCCTCAGCTCTTCAGCTCAAGGTGAGCGCTCTGCCACTTCATAGCACCATTTCCAGTTTTCTGATTGGTTTATTGGAGATAAGAGTTTTATGGACTTTCTCACCTGGGCTGGTTTTGAACCGTGATCCTCAGATCTCAGCCTCCTGAGTAGCTAGGATGACAGGCGTGAGCCACCGGCACCCAGCTGGTTCACCATTTTGTAATTTTTTTTTTTTTGTCAGTCATGGGGCCTGAACTCTGGGCCTGGGCGCTGTCCCTCAGCTCTTCAGCTCAAGGCTAGTGCTCTACCACTTGAGCCACAGCACCGCTTCCAGCTTTTTCTGCCTATGTGGTGCTGAGGAATCGAACCTAGGGCCTCATGCATGCAAGGCAAGCACTCTACCACTGAACCACCTTCCCAGCCCCTGTTCACCATTTTTAATACGAGCTTCAGTACAACCTTAGTCAAGATATAATGGAACCCAGATTGTCATGCCCAAATTAGCTCAAGTAACTTCAGGAATTTTGTCAGGACTGTCATTTCCCTTGCTGTAGCAGTGACTGTTTTCTTAATTTTATGTTTGTAATAACTTGATTTTATGTTTGCCACTTCTTTTAGGTTTAGTATGAGCTTTAACAGGCACAATCTGAAATACTACGTATTACCGAAAAAGCCTAAGAAAGTAGCGTTTGATTGCTTGGAGTGGATCAGAAAGCATCACCCATGTGAGTTGGGCCATGTGATGAGTTATGTTTATTTAATACCACAGAATATAAAGTATTGCATATTAGCCTTTTTTTTTCATTATCGTAGCACTAAGTTGTTATTTATGGAGCAGCATCTTGCAGCTCAATTCTCTCAAATCCCATTGGGTTAAATAACAGCCCTAGCATCTGTGTTGTAATTGGCCTCTGTCAGTGTGGATGGTGCAGCCCTTTGCTGAGAGCCTCTGCCCTGCCCTCCTGTTTGCCTGTGGGTTGTATTAGCTGAAGTGAGACTCGAGTTCAGAGTAGTTTTCCACGCCACCCTATGTCATGAGCATTTCCCCATAGCTTTTACACAGTCCTGCCTTAGTCATTCCCTTTATATTAGCCATTAAATATTTCTAATTTTTAAAATGATAAAAACTTAGTGTATGTCCTGTTCTACTTAATCTAGGTAGGTTAGTTTCCTGGGGAGAAAACTGAGTCAAAAGGAATTTCCTAGGCTCCGGGTACACATGGCCCTCGCTCGGCACCTTCCAGGCTTGTATTAAGGCTCCTTCCTGCTTTGGCGCTGGTCTCCAGAGAACCAGGATTCTGGTTCCAGGGCCACGAATTCCTTGCTGTGCCTTGTCCTGTGCTGTGAGCTCACTGAGCTCTGCTTGAGGCTGCTGTGTGTTGACTTCTCAGTGCTGTTTCTGTTTCTTGGCAGATGACTCAGGGATAATCTACTGCCTCTCTAGGCGCGAGTGCGACACTATGGCCGACACGTTACAGAAGGACGGCCTTGCTGCGCTGGCTTACCATGCTGGCCTCAGCGACTCTGCCAGGGACGAGGTGCAGCACAAGTGGATCAATCAGGATGGCTGCCAGGTGACACGCTCAGACATAAGCACATACAAGAGGCAGGCCTACATAACACACAAGCAAACACGCACAAGAAGACTGGAGATGGTGCCAGGCACGTGCGGCTCATGCCTGTCATCCTAGCTACTTAGATGCTGAGATCTGAGAATCACAGTTCAAAGCTAGCCTGGGCAGGAAAGTTTGTTGTATAAGGCTAGTGCTCTGCTACTTCTGGCTTTCTCGGTGATTAATAGGAGATAAGAGTCTCATGAGACTTACCACGAATAAACCACTCAGAAAACCAGAAGTGGTGCTGTGGCTCAAGTGGTAGAGCACTCACCTTGAACTGAAGAGCTGAGGGACAGCGCCCAGGCCCAGAGTTTGAGCCCCATGACTGACCCAAAAAAAAAAAAAAGGCTGTAAGTGGACGTGTGGCTCAAATGGTAGCGCTCCAAAAAAACAACAAACTTGGTTGTTTTCCTCCAAAAGGATAATTGTTGCTTGAAGTGTTTAAAACAGAAATAAAGAGGGAAGTTACAGTTCAACAAAGCCAGTTCTGGTGAAAGACGTCAGAGCTTTCGGAAGGAGCTGGCACCACGTGGCCTGCTGGGCGCCTGCAGCCAGCTCCTCGCCTCCAGATGCCTATCTACCCCCGGAGGCTGCAGGCCCGCAGGCCTCGCTGGAGAAGCTGTGGGCAGGCACCTCGTCCTCACTAGCGACCACGGTAGATTTTTTTCTCTGCAGGAAGAGCTCCTTTGGACCAAAGTGTCATAAATTTAGACAAGTGCAGGCCGCCGCCGTGCCCTGTGTTGATCATTGTGCCCAGCAGCTTGCAGGGCCTCATGTCCTGGCTGTTGAATCATGTCATTAAGACTCAGTCTGCTTGCTAGATACTTCGTCGCTTTTGAAATCCTGTTCTTGCCGTAGCAATTCATTTTTTTTTAAGTGCTAAAAAAAGACTTGCAGCTTTATTGGTGTAATGTAATTTTGCCTGAGATAGAACATTTTGGTCTGGGTTAAGTAGGTCCTAAATTTTTTTTTTTTTTTTTGCCAGTCCTGGTCTTGAACTCAGGGCCTGGGCACTGTTTCTGAGTGTGCTTTTGCTCAAGGGTAGCACTGTACACCTTGAGCCACAGTGCCACTTCTGGCTTTTTCTGTTTATGTGGTACTGAGGAATGGAACCCAGGGCTTCGTGCATGCTACGCAAGTGGTAGAGTTACCACTAAGCCACATTCCCAGCCAATAGATTCTAAATTTGCAAGTGAGTGATCAAGCTCCTGAAATCCAGTACCACCTCACTTTCACCAAGTAATTCATCTGGGCCCACATAGATGGTCCCTGGCCTTTTCTTTATTTTAGCATAAGCACCTCCTCAGGCTTCTCTCTAGTTTCAACTAAAATTTTATAAGCTTTGACTGTGAAATCAGCGCTTAAAAATATAGGAGAGGGCTGGGAAGGTGGCTCAGTGGTAGAGCACTTGCCTCGCATGCATGAAGCCCTGGGTTCGATTCCTCGGCACCACATAAGCAAAAAGAAAAAAGCCGGAAGTGGTGCTGTGGCTCAAGTGATAGACCACTAGCCTTAAGCTGAAGAGCTGAGGGACAGCGCCCAGGCCCAGAGTTCAGGCCCCACGACCAGACCCCAAAATAAAAATAAAAAAATAAAGGACTAGTGTGCGATTGGCCAGTGTCATAGGAAACTGACCTGGAGCGGGGGCGGGGGAGCGGGGGCAGGGGAGCGGGGGCGGGGGGCGGGGGCAGGGGGACGGGGGCAGGGGAGCGGGGGCCGGGGAGCAGGCACCGAGCCTCTGTGCCTCCGTCCTCTGCACTCCCATCGCCTCTGAATCAGTGTCACAGCTCATGATGTCAGCACTGCCCCCCGCACCACATCAGAAACTGCCCGTGGTGATACCACACAGGAGAGGCCCTGCCAGTCCTGAGCATCTTTATCACCTCGGGTCTCACTGGAACTGCACGTTATCAATAGGAGAATCCTGTCTTAGAGGCACAGTCGGGAGTGGTGCGAGGAGTATGTTTTATAGTCACAGAAGGGCTGAGCTTCGGGACATGTCTGCCGCTAGCACATTCCTCTTCACACTTCGTGCATCTAACAGGGCTTGACTTTACACCAGGTTATCTGCGCGACGATTGCATTTGGAATGGGGATTGACAAACCTGACGTGCGATTTGTGATTCATGCATCGCTCCCGAAGTCTGTGGAGGGTTACTACCAGGAGTCTGGCAGGGCTGGGAGAGATGGGGAAATATCTCACTGCCTGCTCTTCTACACCTATCATGACGTGACCAGACTGAAGAGACTTATAATGAGTAAGCCAGGCTCCACTGGGGACTTCTCTCACCTGTCCCTGAGACCAGTCCACTCTTGTTACTGTGATACTTTGCTTTGTTGTTGTTGTTGTGGGGTTTTTTTTGTTTTTTTTTTGTTCGGTCATGGGGCTTGAACTCTTGGCTTGGGCACTATCCCTGCTTTTTTCAGCTCAAGACGAGTGCTCTACCGCTTGAGCCACAGCACCACTTCTGGTTTTCTGGTGGTTAATTGGAGATAAGAGAGTCTCATGGACTTTTGTGCCCAGGCTGGCTTTGAACCGTGGTCCTCAGATCTCAGCCTCCTCAGTAGCTTGGATTACAGGCGTGAGCCACTGGCGCCCGCCTATTGTGATACTTCACGTCTTGGTTTCCTTATGTAGTTCAAGAAAAATACAGATGCTCATACAGAGTAGAAATCTTGTTTTACTTCATTTTTGCTATATGAGTAGCATGTGCTTGTTATATAAGCTCAAATGATACAGATATGTACAAAGCGGACAATTTGCAAACCATGCTGTGTACCCTTGCCCTTTTATCCTTCCAGGCCCAACTTTCTCATGCATCCTTGCATATAATATGTATTTCAAACAAAGACAAGGATAAATGATGGGTGTGCACATACCACCATCCTGTCCCGCTTTAGAAATAAAACAAGCCAGCCAGGCGCGGGTGGCTCACGCCTGTCATCCTAGCTACTCAGGAGGCTGAGATCTGAGGATCACTGTTCAAAGCCAGCCCAGAGAATAACCAGGAAGAAGCCAGAAGAAGTGTGGCTCAAGTGGTGGAGTGTCAGTCTTGAGAGAAAAAGGCTAAGCCCCGAGCCACAGCCTGGTGCCATTGGTGTTCATACCTATAATCCTAGCTACCCGGAGGCTGAGATCTGAGGATCCTGCCGGGCCCGGGCAGGAAAGGCGGAGAGACAACCTTTATCTCCAATTAATCACTACAAAGTCAGAAGTGGAGTTGTGGCTCAAAGTGGTAGAGCTCTATCCTTGAGCAAAAAGAGTTCAGGGAAGAGCCAGGCCAGAGTTGGAACCCTAGGACTTGCAAAAAAAGAAAAAGAAAAAAAGGAAGAAAATCAGGTGCAGTGGCTCATGCTGAGGTCCAGCTACTAGGGAAGCTGAAACCAGGGAATCACTCAAGCGTAGGAGTTGATAGATGCTCATGTGAAGCCAGCCTGGGCAGACCTTGTCCCATGGTACAGGAAGAAATGGCTTCCCCCATGGGTTTCCTTTAATTTTACCTTGTGACCTTGGAGGAGAGAACTAGCAGGACAGCCAGTAGTGAGAGATCTGATTGCACAATCCAAGAGTACAGGCTCTGCCAGGAGAGCAGAGTCCTGCTGGTGCTGTGTGGACGCTTTGTTCATGCAATGACTCCTTTCTACCCTTTCCTTCTCAAAAAGGGGAAGTTCTGTGTTCATGCAATGACTCGTTTCTATCCTTTCCTTCTCAAAAAGGGGAGGTTCTGTGGACTTAATATTGCCTTTATGTGGGCTGGGAATATGGCTTAGTGGTAAAGTGCTTGCCTAGCATGCACGAAACCCTGGATTCAATTCTTCAGTACCACACAAGCAGAAATGGCCAGAAATGGCACTGTGACTTTGGGTAGAGTGCTATCCTTGAGCAAATCTCAGGGATAGTGCCAAGTTTAAGCCCCAGAACTAGCAAAAAACAAAAACAAAAAAAATATTGCCTTTATGTTCCTCTAGTTTCCCATATAATGTGTACATTTTATTATACTCTTATCTTTTCCAGTGGAAAAAGACGGAAACCGTCATACAAGAGAAACTCATTTCAACAATTTGTATAGCATGGTACATTACTGTGAAAATATAACTGAATGTAGGAGAATACAACTTTTGGCTTACTTTGGTGAAAATGGATTTAACCCTCATTTTTGTAAGAAATACCCAGATGTTTCTTGTGACAACTGCAGTAAGACAAAGGTAAAATAAGAAATTTTAAAATTCATTGGTAGTTAAGAAAATTGGCCACTTATTTTTCTTCTCTTAGTTGGAAACAGTAAGTCCAAGTTAGAAGTTGGTGCGTGGCTTTCGAGAGGCAGCGAGGCGAACTGCCCTGCCGCACTTGGTAATGCGAAGGTTTTTGAAGTGGTTTGTGGGATATCTTTTCTTTAGCACTAGACGACTGTAAGAAAATGTACCGGTCCTCTACCTACCCAAATGATTGAGGTTATTTGTGTGCACTGCTAGCGATAAGATTGGTATTTCAGAAATACCATTAATACGTCAAAAAGATACAACGTGGGTAGGTGAAAAGGTTCCGAATTCAAGTATAGCCTATATTTAGAGATCTTATTTTCACAAGAGCAATAATACGTACTATGTTTCAATTCAGTTTCAATTGGAATTACTTGGAGTTTCATTTAGGAGGGGTATATTTGTTTTTACTGTAAAGAAGAACAAAGGATTGGGAATGTGGCTCAGTGGAAGAGAGGCCCTAGGTTTTATTCCTCAGCACCACATAAGCAGAAATAGCTGGAAATGGTGCTGTGGCTCAAGTGATAGAATACTAACCTTGAGCTGAAGGACAGAGCCCAGGCCCAGAGCTCAGGCCCCATGACCAAAAAGCAAAACAAAACAGAACGAGCCTTGGGCTGGGAAGGTGGCTCAGTGGTAGAGTGCTTGCCTTGCATGCATGAAGCCCTGGGTTTGGTTCCTCAGTACCACATACACAGAAAAAGCCAGAAGTGGTGCTGTGGCTCAAGTGGTAGAGTGCTACCTTTGAGCAAAAGCAGCTCAGGGACACCCAGTACTGATGGCTCATGCTTGTCATCCTAGCTACTCAGGAGGCTGCCCTGAGGATCGCAGTTCAAAGTCAGCTCAATAAACCACTGAAAATCTGAAGGGTGCTGTGGCTCATGTGGTAGAGTGCTCGCCTTGAGCTGAAGAGCTGAGGGACAGAACCCAGGTCCGGAGGAGGAGGAGGAGGAGGGGGAATAGGAACAGGAGGACGAGGAGGAGGAGGAGGAGAAGAAGGAGTGGGAGGGGGAAGAGGAGGAAGAGGAGAGGAGAAGGAGAAGAATGAGCTTGTGTAATCCCAACCCCTGGGAGCTGAGGGGCGTGGTAAATTGGGCTCTGCTGGGCTGAATGAGTCCACTGTCATTTATCTTGAAGCAACCTGGGGATGCTTTCAAGTTATCAGGTACTTCCCTACCCATCATGCTGGGCTTTTGTGTTTTTAATGTAATGTTACTGTTATTATTAGGGTGTGTACTCAAGGGTTACCGTTTCTTCCGTTGATTTTATGTTTTAATGCTTGCCATGCTTTACTGATAAAGAATTGCTTTCACATCTGGTATTTTGTTCAGCATGTCTGCAGAGTGCTGGGGGCTCAAGTCTTAGACTTGAAGGGAGGCAGACTTGCATTCTTTCTTTCTTTCTGTTTTTTTCCCAGTCCTGGGACTTGATCTCAACGCCTGGGCACTGTTCCAGAGCTTCTTTTGCTCAAGGCTAGCACTCTACCACTTGAGGCACATTGCCACTTCTGGCTTTTTCTGCTTTTATGGTACTGAGGAATTGACCCAGGGCTTCATGCATGCTAGACAAGCACTGTACCACTAAGCTATATTCCTAGCCCTTATTTATTTATTTAAATGCAATAGTAATGCGTGCTAGATACCAGTGGCTCATGCTTGTAATCCTTACTACTCAAGAGGCCAAAAACACCAGCCTTGAGCCAAAAAAACCATCTGAGAGCGGAGGCCCTCAGTTTGTTGCCTGCAACAAAGGCGCGTGTGAGGCCGGTGTGGAGGTAGGGGCAGGAGGGCTCTGGGGGCAGCCCAGACTCAGCATGAGATTCTAAAAGCAAAAAGGACGAGGGTGTGGTTCAAGTGGTGCAGTCCCCCTAGCCCACAGTGTGCCGTCAGGCAGTTGAAAGATGAAAACGGCATCTGGAGTAAGCAGGAATAAAGTTTAGTGGAATTGCAGATTATTCTAGAACAAGCATGTATAACACCTTGGGTTTTAGTCTAGGTTTTAGGAGGCAGATGAATTGTAAGTTTACATAGTAAACTCTGGCAGTCCAACTATCATTGTGGCAGAAGGTAATTTTTTTATTTACAGGAGTATAAAACAAGAGACGTGACTGATGATGTGAAAAACATTGTAAGATTTGTTCAAGAGCATAGTTTGTCCCAGGGAATGAGAAGCGCAGGTCCTGCTGGAAGATTCACTATGAACATGCTGGTTGACATTTTCCTGGGTAAGTTGTATGTCTTTCTGTTTGAATTTACTCCTGCTTGGGGGGGGGGAAGTTGGGCCCTCATAGCTTATGTCTTTGTGAGCCTAGCTGCTCAGGAGGCTGAGATCTGAGGATCCAAGTGTGAAGGCAGCCAGAGCCAAAAAAAAAAAGAGTCTATGGGATTCTTTTCTCCAGTTAACCACAAAAAAGCAAGAGTGATTCAATTAGTAGTCGAGTGCCAGCCTTGAATGAAAATCTAAGGGACAATGCCCAGGATCTGAGTACTGGCACCCCAAAAATAAAAAAATTCTGTGAGATTTGAGATTACCAAGAGAGAAATCATAACAGAGGAAAATTGCGCTTCTCTCTCTGCATTCTCTGACTCGGTCTGGAGCTTGCAGATCAACCTGACAAAAGATAACGTAGCATGAGAAGAAACACATCTATTTATGTGTATAGGAATTCAGACACAAAAAAGGTGACTCAGAAGCTCAAAAGAGGACATTGAGAATGTGGAACTTGTCTGCTGTCATTATGTGTGTGAGTGCACGCTCACAAGCATTTGAAAACTGGGCCTTGGCACATGTCAACAAGCACACTCTACTAGATGAGCCATGACCTCAGCCCACATTTTTGCTTTAGTTTGAGATGGGGTCTCCTGGGCAGACCTTACAGTCTCTGCCCCCTAAGAAGCTAGCCTGCATACCATCTTTATAGGGTGTGGAGAGAGGGTAGTGGAACTTACAGGTAAACAGTTGACTTTTAGGAAGTAAAAATAAGCCCTTAGGCAATTAGGTGCAAACTGGGGTCTCTGTGTCAGTGTCCGGTGGGTGTGATCTAGATGGCTTCTTACAAGATTCCCCCTTCCCTGCTGTTCCCAGGGAGGGCTCTGACAAGTGAGCTCTTTAGAGTTCTTTTTGGAGGCTCTGCCTTCTGCTTTTTGGGGCAGATAATAAAAAAGATTTCAGGAACTGAAATGCCTTCTGCTTGGAATAATTTTTATGCTATCGTGGTATATTCTGGACCACTTCCGAGGCCATCTGAAAGCTTAGGGGAAAAAAAAGGAACTAAAACCAGACAACCAGACTGACATCACATTAGTATCAACAATTATAGAGACCAGAGACTAAGGAAGAGGGTGCCTGGCACACAGAGACGGCTGCACTAGCCTGTGGCCCACCGAGGCCCGCAGTCCAGCTCTGCAGCTCTGTACGACACAATCATGTCACAGGCGGAAAGTATGTAGAGACGCTAGGTGATAGGTTTCACCGAGAGCCAGCTAGCCCGCAGGAGACTGAGGCTGGAAGAAGAATCAAGGCCAAGCCAGGTGCCAGTGGCTCACGCCTATAATCCTAGCTGCTCAGGAGGCTGAGATCTGAGGATCACAGTTCAAAGCTAGCCCAGGCAGGAAAGTCTGTGAGTCTCTTATCTCCAGTAAATTACTCAGAAAACCGGAAGTGGCTCTGTGGAAAGCACTCGCCCTGAGCTTTAAGAGCTGAGAGACAGCACCCAGGCCCAGAGTTCAAGCCCCACAACCAAAAAAAAGACTGGCCTGGGAAGGTGGCTCAGTGGTAGAGTACTTGCCTTGCATGCATGACACCCTGGGTTCAATTCCTCACCACCACTAATCAGAAAAAGCCAGAAGAGGCGCTGTGGCTCAGGTAATAGAGCTCTAGCCTTGAGCTCAAGAGCTGATGGACAGTGCTCAGGCCAACCACACAGACCCTGTCTTGGGACAAAAAAAAAAAAAAAAAGCCCAGTACCAGTGGTTCCTGCCCATAATCCTAGCTACTCAGAGGACTGATACCTGAGGATTGCAGTTCAAATCTAGCCTGGGCAAGAAGGGCTGGCTGTGACATTCTTTTTTTTTTTTTTTTTTTGGGTCCGATCGTGGGGTCTAAACTCTGGGCCTGGGCACTGTCCCTCAGCTCTTCAGCTCAAGGCTAGCGCTCTACCACTTGACTCACAGCTCCACTTGGGTTTTTTCTTTTTGCTTATGTGGTGCTGTGGAATCGAACCCAGGACCTCAGGCATGCAAGGCAAGCGCTCTACCACTGAGCCAACTTCCCAGCCCCTGGCTGTGACATTCTTATCTCTGGTTAATGTTCAAAGTGGTAGAGCATACCTTTGAGCAAAAGAGCTCATGGATGATGCCCAGGCCCCAAGTTCAAGCCCCACAACCGACAAAAAAAAATTTAAAAAAGCTTACCAAGATAACTGCTAATTCTGATCATCATTACCATCACATCACTGTAGATTATTACAGTGAAAGTTTCCAAGAAAAGTGTTAGTAGTTATGACAGCTTGAATATGAAGTGAAGCTCTAGTCTGCATTCTGTGGAGAATGGTCTGTTACTCTGTAACAGTTTGTAAAGCTGTTTTCAGTCTATTAGAGTCTATGTTTCTAATATTTGTGAGCTGAAAATGTAACATTTTAAATGCTATACCTGGGGCTGGGAAAGTGGCTCAGTGGTAGAATGCTTCCTCCAATGCATGACGCCCTGTGTTCCATTCCTCAGCACCACATAAACAAAAAAAGCCAGAAGTGGCACTGTGGCTCAAGTGGTAGAGCCTAGCCTTGAGCTGAAGAGCTGAGGGACAGCGCCCAGGCCCAGAGTTCAGGCCCCACAACAGACTAAATGAATAAGTAAATGCCATACCTCATTTTGCTGTGGTTTCCATTGGGTATGGTATAGAACGATGAGAATTGCTGGAGACATGGCTCAAGTGGTACAACACCTGCCCAGTAAGCACAGCGTTTCTGAGTTCAAACCCCAGTACTGCCAAAAAAATAAAATGAGGGAAAGTACAAGCAAGCAAGGGCTGGGGATGTAGTCCAGGGCAGAACACAGACAGCATGTATCAGGGATGGAATTCAATCCCAGTCTTCCCCGGCACCCAAAAAATAAAAACAAAACAAAAGTTCTGTGAAGCCACTGAAGCTAGAGTTGAGTTCAGATCCCTCATTGTGTGGGGTGAGGTCATCTTGTCTGCAGGTGTCCTGGGGAGGGGCTGAGCTCTTACTTGCTCAAAGCTGTCCATAGGTGGCTCTGTTCTTACTCATCTTAACTTTTTGTGCCTTGTTAGGGAGCAAGAGTGCGAAGATTCAGTCAGGCATGTACGGAAAGGGAGCTGCTTATTCCCGACACAATGCCGAGAGACTCTTTAAGAAGCTGATTCTAGACAAGATACTGGATGAAGACTTATTCATCAATGCCAATGACCAGGCGATCGCCTACATGATGCCAGGAACCAACGCCCAAAATGTACTGAGTGGACACTTAAAGGTAAGCTGGCCCAGATCTTCATCTGATAGCCACTGCAAAGCTAAGTCATTGAACATAGGTATACTGTCCTAGAGGAATAGCTTCTGATCTTAACTGGAGAGACATCCTTTTGTTACTGTTTTGTTGTTCTGTTGTTCTGGGACTGGGTCTTAAACTCAGAGCCTTGAACTTTTCTCAAGGCTGACAATCTACCATATGAGCCATGCTTCTAATTCTAGCTTTTTGCTGCTTAATTGGAGATAAAAGTCTCATATTTGTTTGCCTAACTGGCTTCCAACCAGGACCCTCAGATCTGAGTAGCTAGTATTACAGACATGAGCCACTGGCACCTTAAAATTGAATCTGAAAATCCAGTACCACCAACATAACTAAATCCCAGTACCGCACATCTGTCGGTGAGCCTGGAGGGTTATCAGGTCAGTAAACCATTAGCGAGACAGTGGGGAGTCTCGTTGAGATGGATGTGCAGCTGATTCCAACCTGAACACAGCCTTGCTTGGCTTCAGCTGTGCATCTGCCCACTCCTGGGCTTTCTCTCACTAGGTAAACTTCATGGAAACAGAAAACTCCAGCAGTTTGAAGAAACAAAAAGCTTTAGTGGCCAAAGTGTCTCAGCGGGAAGAGGTGGTTAAGAAATGCCTTGGCGAGCTCACAGAGGTCTGCAAGTCTCTGGGGAAGGTCTTTGGGGTCCATTACTTCAACATCTTTAACACGGCTACGCTCAAGAAGCTCGCAGGTGGGTGCATCCACGCCTGCTGCCTCCCGGCCCAGTGGACAGGCCACAGGTCCATCTTGCTATTGAATTTTTGTTCTTCACTGGTTATTTCTTGCTTCCCACAGTGACATGTACCCAAATACAACCCACCTACTTTTAGGCTTCCTCTTGTTGCTGGAATCACAGGCCTGTCCCATTGCATCTAGCTTCTCTCCCTAGAGACCAAACACTTTTCTTGCCCAGGCTGCCTCCAATTGCAGCCTCCCGCATGAGATGCCAGGCACACACAACTGCCCTCGCTCTGAGTTGGGATTAGGGTTTTGCTTTTCTGTCCAGGCTGCCCTAGAGCGCTGCTCCTCCCATTCTCGGCCTCCCGAGTAGCTAGGGTTACTGATGTGTGCCACCAGGGTGCCTGGCTTGTCATTGCTTTTGAGAGTTTCCGTTGTGCAGCCCAGGTTGACCTCAAACTCAGGATCACCTTCCTCTACCTTCTAAGGGCAAGGATCAGAGATGCAGCTGCCACACTGGGCTGCTGAAGGCCTTGGAAGTGATACATTGTGATAATTATTTTTATTTAACTCTGGACTGAAAACTCAGAAGAACCATTTAAACTGGTTCTTGAGATAAAAATAGAATGCCTTAAGATGCAGTTTCTGTATGTGGTATAATTTTCATCATTTTATACTTTGCTCTAAAGCTGAACATTAAGCTATGAATAACTGCAGTCTGTAAAGCCAGATGTCAGTTATTTGTACTGAGTACTTGCCTGTCTTATAGTGTTTAGCTATTGATGTACAAATATCACACCAATGAAGAACTGAGCTCCTGATGGAGAGAGAGAGATGCTTCTTGAATCTGGACCTAGCATACTGCTGTGTGCTTAAGAAATACTTGCTGACCTAGGTTATTTCCATGGATTGAGATAGCTCAGCTGGGGATTTCAGTAGTAAAGTCTCTGGACTATTATGAAGTTGTTCACATAACTGACTGGTGTGTACACCTCTGTGTTCTTTTAGAAGTCCCATCCCTTTCCATTCAAGGTGCCTTGGCTCAGCTGTGCTGCGTGCTCCATGCTGTTTTGTGCACTGGGTTCAGGGGTGATGGCAGAGCCCGGGGGGCATCTGCCTCGGGGCAGTGCTTGCAGGACGGCACCTGGGTGTCCACCGGAGGCTGCTCCGTCTGCTCCAGGCATCCTTTGGCAGCGCCTAGGCCTGCTTGTAAAGGCAGAGATAGGGGTCCTTCCCTCACAAATGATATTTGACTCACGCCAAAGCTACCCCCTTGTTTTAGTTGAGAGCTTTTCTGCATTCAGGGTTTTTTTGTTTTGTTTTTTTTTTTTTTTTGTCGGTCGTGAGGCCTGAACTCTGGGCTGGGCACTGTCCCTAAGCTCTTCAGCTCAAGGCTGGAGCTTTACCACTTGAGCCACAGTACCACTTCCAGCTTTTTTTGCTTATATGGTGCTGAGGAATCAAACCCAGGGCCTTATACATACAAGGCAAGCACTCTACCACTGAGCCACCTTCCCAGCCCCTCAGGTTGTGTGTGTCTGTGTGTCTGTGTCTGTGTCTCTGTCTGTCTGTCTGTCTGTCTGTCTGTCTGTCTGTCTGTCTGTCTTGGTCATGGGGCTTGAACTCTGGGCCTGAGCGCTGTCCCTCATGTCTTCAGCTCAAGGCAAGCGCTCTACCACTTGAGCCACAGCACCACTTCAGTTTTCTGGTGTTTCATTGGAGATAAGAGTCTCACAGACTTTCCTGCCTGGGCTGGCTTTGAACCTTGATCCTCAGATATCAGTCTCCTGAGTAGCTAGGATTACAGGCATGAGCCACCAACACTCGGCTTGATTTTTGATAGTACTGGGATTTCAACTCAATGACTTGGGCCATATCACCAGCCCTCTTTTTTTTCTTTTTCTTTTTTCTTTTTGGGTCCGGTCGTGGGGCCTGAACTCTGGGCCTGGGCACTCTCCCTCAGCTCTTCAGCTCAAGGCTAGCGCTCTACTACTTGAGCCACAGCGCCACTTCCGGCTTTTTCATTTTGCTTATGTGGTGCTGAGGAATCGAACCCAGGGCCTCAGGCATGCAAGGCAAGCGCTCTACCACTGAGCCACCTTCCCAGCCCCCCTCCCCCATTTTTTTTAAGTGCCATTTCTAGCTTTTTGAGATTAATTTGAGAGAAAAGTCTCAGACTTTTCTGCCCAGGCTGGTTTTGATCCTCAGATCTCATCCTCCCAAGTAGATAGGAATATAGGTGTGAGCCAACAGCACCTGACCAGTTCTGGTTTTTTGCTGATTAATAGGAGATAAGAATATTAGATTTGGGGGCTGGGAAGGTGGCTCAGTGGTAGAGTGCTTGCCTTACATGCATGAGGCCCTGGGTTCGATTCCTCAGCACCACATAAGCAAAAAGCCGGAAGTGGCGCTGTGGCTCAAGTGGTAGAGAGCTAGCCTTGAGCTGAAGAGCTGAGGGACAGCCCCCAGGTCCAGAGTTCAGGCCCCACGACCGGACCCCCCCAAAAAAAAACCAAAAAAAACAACAACAACAACAACAAAGAATATTAGATTTGGGGCTGGGAAAAAGAATAGTAGATTTGTCTACCTAGCCTGTCTTTGAACCTTATTCTCAGATCTCACCCTCCTGAGTAGTGTGGATTATAGCTATGAGCCCCAAAACCCAGCCCTCTGGACTGTTCGCACTGGCTCCCTTATCTGCAAATGTGAACCTGATGTACATTTTCATCTTCTCAAAACTACTAAAACTGCCAAGTACGAGTGGCTCACGCCTGTAGTCCTAGCTACTTAGGCTGAGATCTGAGGATTATGGTTCAAAGCCAGCCCTGGCAGGAAAGGCCTTGAAACTTTTTTTTTTTTTTGGTCCGATCGTGGGGCCTGAACTCTGGGCCTGGGCGCTGTCCCTCAGCTCTTCATCTCAAGGCGAGCGCTCTACCCCTACAGCCACAGCGCCATTTCCGGCTTTTTCTGCTTATGTGGTGCTGAGGAATCGAACCCAGGGCCTCATGCATGCAAGGCAAGCACTGAACCACTGAGCCACCTTCCCAGCCCATGGCCTTGAAACTCTTATCTCCAATAAACCACCAGAAAACCGGAAGTGGTTCTGTGGCTAAAGTGGTAGAGTGCTAGCCTTGAGCTGAAGAGCTGAGGGACAGCATCTAGGCCCAGAGTTCAGGCCCCATGACCAACAAAACAAACAAAAAAACTTACTAAAACTACTGCTGTACAGGTAAATACAAATTCTGCCCAGTGCCTACATTTCTTCTTATCTCTCCAGTATCGTGTTCTCTTAGACTCCTTCAAACACCCTCTATGTCACGGTCTATTGCTTTTCCTGTAAGCATGGGAATGATGCAAACATCACTGATGAGAAAGATTGGAAATTCACTCTCAGCTGCAGTCAGATGTAGAGGAATGATGACCCCCTTGTCAAAGCCAGGGGAGCATCAGTCCCACAGAGCTGGCCCCAGATCTCCTTCCAGCCTCCTCTGTCTCCATCTCACTTGATCCTGCTGGGCTCCCCCTGGCTCCCGCTTTCCCCTTCTTTCCATCCATTTTCTTTTTCTTTTTTTTGGGGGGGGGGATCCGGTCGTGAGGCCTGAACTCTGGGCCTGGGCGCTGTCCCTCAGCTCTTCAGCTCAAGGCTAGCGCTCTACCACTTGAGCCACAGCGCCACTTCCGGCTTTTTTCTTTTTGCTTATGTGGTGCTGAGGAATCGAACCCAGGGCCTCAGACATGCAAGGCAAGCGCTCGACCACTGAGCCACCTTCCCAGCCCCCCAGCCCCATCTCTGAAAATGACTTGGACCCATCCTCTCTCTCCAGATTTCTCTATGGGAATATGCCACTCACCATGCGCAGCAAGGGAAAGTGAGCTGCTGTGTGCACCTACTCAGACCAGAAAGGTCTAGTGCTAGGAGCCCAGCCTAGAACAAAACAGGAGAACCCACCCTGGGGAAGGGCGCTGGGGCAGGGTCCTCTGCTCCCTTCTGTGCGGCTGGCTGAGTGTGAGCACAAGCGTGTATGGTTTTTATAGAAGACAGCCGCCACCACACCCACACCCTCTCATGATGGCCCCTATCTGAAGATATTATTAAGTCATTGACACTTTGTGTAAATAATAGGCTCTTCAGGAAGACAGAGTGAGGAACGAGAGTCTTTGAGGGCGAGAGATAAAGGTAAAGAGGTCCCGTCTGTCTCAGGAGACGGTCCCAACTGTTGCGGGCTGGGATGGGAGGATCACTGGAGTGCAGGAGCCTGAGGTCACCCTGGCACAGAGCGAGACTGCACCTCCAAAACATCACACCACACACAGCAAGCCACACACACAGCAAGCCACACATACACAGCAAGCCACACACACACCCCTTACCACACACACACATATACCATGCCACACACACACCCCTTACCACACACACACATACACCATGCCACACACACAGCAAGCCACACACACACACCCCTTACCACACACACACATATACCATGCCACACACACATACACCATGCCACACACACAGCAAGCAACACACACATGCACCATGCCACACACACACCATACCACACACACAGACACCATATCACACACACAGACACCATATCACACACACAGACACCATATCACACACACAGACACC